CCGGGAGCGGAGTCCGTCCCGCTGGGGCTGAAGGCCATGGTGGTGGTGAACTCCACGCCCTGCAGTGTCACCTGCGGGCTGGGCGTGAAGCAGGAGCAGCTGTGCGAGTACAGCCCGGCCGGCGAGCGCCGCAACTGCTCCCTGCTGCGCTCCCGCTGCCTCGGCGATTGGATCTGCGGCCTCCGGCACCTCAGCGTTCCCGAGGGAAAACCCTTCCAGCTCACCTGCCTCTCCCCGGACGCCGCCAGCCTGGAGGGACCAAATTTCGGCTACACCTGGAGGTTCGCCCGCGGGCTCATCACCACCAACGACCTCCTGTTCCATCCCTTCCGCAATCCCAGCCCTTCCCTGCGCCTCTCGCCGGCGCTGGAGTCGCATTCCGGCACCTACCGCTGCGACGTGCAGGTGCTGAGCTCCTTCCAGCTCGTCAAGAGGATCTACTTCGGCCTCAGGGTGATCCCCAGGGATCTGGTGGATCTCGACTTCCAGAAATCCCTGACTTGGGAGCAGCAGCTGGTGGCCAACGGCGAGGAGCCGCCAGAAAACGCCACGGGCCCCACGGAGCCGGAGAAGCGGTGGAATTTTTGGGAGAAGCAGTGGTTTTATGAGGTCGTGCTGGGGGTTGGGAGTGGGGTGATCGTGGGGATCCTGTTCAGCCTCGGGCTCTGCTGCCTGGGCAGGATTTGCAGGAAAAGAGCAGCACTTGAAATGAATGAGGACTGATGCAATTCCCTGACTTTGGCTCTTCATTAGGATCAGGAATTCAGGATGGGATTCTTGGGGTTGTCCACAGTTGGAGTTTGGTGATCCTCCCCTTCCCATTCAGGACATCCCCATGGATCCCATAACTAATGAGATATTTAGAATTTATTTGCAACAGACACAGTTTGTAAATGAATATTTTCAGCCACTTTGGAGCCTGGATTAGGAATTCAAGAATTTGGGGTGGAATTCTTGGGGTTGTCCACAGTTGGAGTTTGGTGATCCTCCCCTTCCAACTCAGGACAATCCATGGATCCCATAACTATTTAATGAGATATTTAGAATTTATTTGCAACAGACATTATTGAATATCTTCTGCCATTTTGGAGCCTGGATTAGGAATTTGGGGTGACATTCTTGGGGTTGTCCACAGTTGGAGTTTGGTGGTCCTCCCTTTCCCACTCAGGACATCCCATGGATCCCATGGAACTTTATGGAATATTTATCGTTTATTTTCAATGGATGCAAGTTACTATTGAGTCTTTTTGGAGACTTTGGAGCCTGGAAAGTCGGGACAGGGTTGGAGAACCTGTGCTGGATTTCCAGCAGGTGCTTCCAGTGGAATTCTGGAATGATCCAGCTGGGATCTGGAGCACCCTGAGCCACAGCAAACAGCTCCCAGCTCCTCTAAAGGGTCTTTGCTTTACCTCGAGGACTTTGGGCTTTTTTAAATTTCACTTCCCATCCTTATTCCTGTCAAATTTCCTCAGATTTCTTTAAATTTCTCCTGCCTTTCCAAGAATTCTGGGGAGATGGAGCTGCCCCAGGTCAGGGATGAGAGGAATGAGGTCATTTTGTCGTTTCCCTCTGATCCCAGGTCTGCTCCCAGCTGTGGGGACGAGGGATGCCCCACTTCGCTCTGGAAGTTATTCCCTTCCATGACATCCTGGGAAAAGCATTTTCTGGATTATTCCTGGGTTGTGCAGGGCAGGGAGCACCCAGAGGCCGGAGAGGAGAGCTGGGGGGGTTTGATCCTCTCAGAGCTGAGCTCATCCCTAAAATCCTTACGGGAACAGCTCAGTGGGGGCGGGCTCTTCCATTTTTCCTGCTGATTAATGAGGATAAACCATTGGATCATTCCAATGAGGAATTCTGCAGGGAGTGGAAACCATAGAGGGACTTATAAAATACCTTTTTTTCCAATTTTCTTTCATATTTGCTGTTTGTTGCCTTTTCCCCTGTGAGCTACAGGGACACCCAAATCCAGGGAAAAGAAGAGCACAGCTCTAAGGTTAAAAATTGAAAAATTCACGAGTTTTTCCTTTTACCAGACCAGCACAAAAATGCTTTGATATCGAAAAACATGGGTAGGGAGGGAAATAATTTTATTTATTCAAATGAAAACCAAACCAGACACTACCCACAGCTGATTCCCAGCAGGTTTTTTTCACCTCCTGAACATGGAAAAATCGGGAATGACCCATCACAGCGGGCTGGGAGTTAATGGTCCAGAGCTGCCCCATCTGCAGGAGCCTCTCTGCTCTTTGTCATGGAAATTTCCATGTCTTGGGCCCAGCTGGGATTCCCAAATCCAGCGGGATGAAAGCTCTGGCTCTGCTGGGGAAGTCGGAGCGGGAGCCAAAAATCTCCTTCATCTTTGGCTTGTGGGGTTTGGTAATTTCTGAGGGGAGCCAGATGCTCAGAGCAGGGAAAACGAATCCATAATTGGAGTTTTGATTTGGAGTCCGAGGGCTGGGATGGCCACTGGGGTCCAGCTGTCACAAAGGGCCTTTAATGGGATTTTTTGGGGGGTACTCTTTGATTTTTGAAGGGATATTAAGGATTGGGGGATGTTTGTCATAACAGGGGAAGGAAGGGAGAAGGAAGGAAAAGGGAATAGCACAGGTTGGAGCTCAGCGCAAGTAGGGAAGTAAAAACCCTTGGAAGAGCATCCCCATCCCTCCTTTTTCCCCTCTCTCCCTGCAAAATCTTCTTTTGTTAAACACTGCCCCTGAATTCCCACCATAAATGGCAGAAATTTAGGGGGAAAAAAAGTCTCTCTCTGCTCTGAATTGGTGCCTGAACTCCTTTTTCCCAATTTTTCACCTGGAGGCGAGGATGGCACAGACTCCATGGAAACCCTGGACTCCATGGAAACCCCAGGAACTCTGAACTCCATGGAAACCCCGGACTTTCTGGGAATTCTGTGTGCTTGCCATTCCATGGGCCTGAGCTTTAGGAAGCAATCAGGAGCTTCCAGGGCAGATCCAGGGAGCAGAGGGGTTGTGAAGAAATCCCTGGGATCTCCTCAGGCTTTCCTCAGCTGAGGGAAAAAAAAACCCCATAAATCGATTTTGGGGCTTTCTGGCTCCTCCGTCCTCTGCTCCTGGAGCTGTTATCCTGTTCCCTGATCCACTGGGATAGAATTCCTGTTCCCACCTTTCCCTCTTGCTGCTGATGTCCCTGCAGAGTGACCAGTGGTGTCCCTGCAGAGTGACCAGGGGTGTCCTTGTAGAGTGACCAGGGGTGTCCCTGCAGAGTGACCAGGGGTGTCCTTGTAGAGTGACCAGGGGTGTCCCTGCAGAGTGACCAGGGCTGTCCCTGCAGAGTGACCAGTGGTGTCCCTGCAGAGTGACCAGTGGTGTCCCTGCAGAGTGACCAGGGGTGTCCTTGTAGAGTGACCAGGGGTGTCCTTGTAGAGTGACCAGGGCTGTCCCTGCAGAGTGACCAGGACTGTCCCTGCAGAGTGACCAGGGCTGTCCCTGCAGGGTGACCAGGGATGTCCTTGTAGAGTGACCAGGGCTGTCCCTGCAGAGTGACCAGGGCTGTCCCTGCAACTCCTGGGGACAGGTCAGGAGCTGCCCCAGCATTGCTGAGCCCAGAGCTCCAAGACCTTTGGGATCACCAGAGGCTGGAGCTGGGCAGGCCTCCTTCCCTCTCTCCATCCTTCATCTTTCCCTCTCTCAATCTTTCATCCTTCCCTCCATCCTTCTTTCACTCCATCACTACCCTCTCTCCATCCATCCTTCATCCTTCCTTCTCCATCCTTCCCTCTCTCCATCCTCCCTACAAATCCCCGGAATTCCGCTCCTCTCCCTGGCTCTGCACACCTTTAACCCCTGGGCTGTATTTTAGGAGAGCTTTTATTTTTTTTTAATTTTAGGAGAGGTTTTAAGGAGGATTCCAAGCCTTTTCCTCCCGCTGGTGGCTCTGTCTGGGCTTTAAATGTAATTTTTTGTCGTTTCCCAAGGTCTGAATGCCGGATCTGCAGATCCTTCCCCGTTCCTCTCCCACCCCCGGGCTAATGGAATGGCAGAAGGGACTGCCCAAAACAGGGCTTAACAAAGCCTGAGCTGCCCTGTCTGGAGAGGGATTCCCCTGCCACCACCTGGGCTAAAAAGGGCGAGGAATTGGCAATTAAAGGGAAAACTGCACGTCAGGGCCCAGCCAGGAAATTCCAGGGTCGGGATTGCCCAGGCTGGCACGGTTTTCTCTGGGATTGAGGAATCACCGCCAGGGAAAAATCCCTAAAACCCCCCTTGGGATGGAACCAGCAGCAACACCAACCAATTCTCGTTAACTTTGGTCAACTGCTTTACTGGGAGACAGAGATTTCAGCAGGCAACATTGATTTCCAACCAGTCCTGTGGGTGCTCAGCTCAGTATTCCTGCTTTTCCCAGCCTCTGGAGCAGAGGGGGCTCCTTGGGATGTCCAGCAGCCATCAGAGCTGGAATCCAGAGCCTCTTCCTGGCTGGATCTCAGCCTTTGCAGTCCCAATCCGAGCCTGGAATTTTGTCTGGATGAGTTCTCAGTGCAGGGAGATGAATCCGAGTCCAAATTTTCCTTGTTGTCCCAGTGGTGGCTTCCTGGAGTCTCCCGTTCTTGTTTTAATTTTGTCATTTTCTAAAATTCCTCCTTTAAGCCCCTCTGAAATTTGATTTATTGACACCTCTATTTTTAGGCAGAGCTACCCAAATTAGGGATTCTGGGAAAGGATCCCCTTCTCCCAAAGAGGCAAACAGGGTGACAAATCCTAAAAAGCACGTGAGATGTGGGAAAACACGGAATTTGCACCTCACAGCTGAGACGAGCACCAGGCTGGGGCTGCAAGTGAACACCAGAGTAGTAAAAAAAGCTTTTCAGGCTGGGGCAGAGCTCGACCCTCCCGTGGATTTGTCTCCTTGGGCTGGTTCCTGCAGTGTTTGGCTCTTTTTTTGTGGGAGAAAGGATCAATCCCGTCCCACGAAGGCTCCGAGCTGGCTGTGGTGGGATGGGTGTGGAACATGCTGGTCCCTGAACTCCTCAGTCCCCGTCCTCCCACGGAATTCACTGTACAGAGTTAAAAAAAAGTCTAATTTAGCAGTCTGGTTATCTCATACATGGCTTCAATAAGGCAGAAAACCTATGGATACAGTGAGGGCGGGGCAGCTGGCTGCAGAATTCCCGGAGAATTCTTCATTTTCCTCGTTTTCCTTAAAAAACATTTCCTCGGTTAAAGACCCATGTCTTGTATGAAAGCTTTTGTTCCTCCAAACAAAACAAAACAAAACAAAACAAAAGCTCTTTCTAATTTCTTCCTCCTTTCCAACCACATGGTCCAATCCTCGCCCCGAAGTGGGATTTGTGTTATTCCCATGGGATCGGGAGGAGCCGTGTCCGGAGCGTGCTCAGAGCTCCAGGGAGCTGACCAGGGCCACCAGCAGCAGGGAGTTGGTGGTGACAACCACGACGTGTGGCGCTGGCCTCGTCCCCGAGTCCTCCACCATCATGCTCGTCCCTGGAAAAACACGGAATAGGGATGGGGCTGCGGGGTGGCGCGGACACCAGGGGAACTTGAGGGAGGATTTGTGGGGTTTTTTGTGTGTTTGGTGCTTGTAAAATGCCTGGGAATGCTGGGAACAGGAATTTGGGCATGGGGAATTCAACCCTGGACTTAGGGAATTTGCTGGAGCTGCGGCCCCACAGAGCTGGCATTTCACTCTTAGTGGAAAATGTAAATAGTTTTTAAGCTCTTAACTCTTGGGA